AAACTGAAATACTTGAATTTTTATATGAATTTTATTATTATAATATGGTATTTTACTAAATATTAGTCCAATATTAAATCTTTATATGTTTGTTTTATTTTATCACCCCCAATATAATATATTTATAGAGTATTGTTTTAATAAATATCAGTATTTAGTATGTATGAAATATATATGTAAAATATTTGAGAAAATTATTGTTTTTTTGTAAACACTAGTATGTCAATAGCTGATCACACTAGTTTCAATTTTGTTAAAGTTGATTAAAAATACATGAAAAATTTAATTTAATTTGATGAAAACTTACAAAACAACTATAATATAATTTACAATTAATAGTGGTAGTGGTCAACAATGTCTTGCACAAATGATCCGCCCCCCACCTCTGCAATACATCACACAGAGGACAGGCTTGAAGTGTTAGCAATTCCACATATAGGTGACGGATATGCGTGCCGGGGGCCTATAATTCTAGTCCACTTTAATGTCTCGACCCATTCTTATAAGGAAAAGATGAGAAATTGAAGTGGATTTGACGAAGATGTCATAGGAAGGGCTAGTGCATCCTTTTTTGCGTCGATTAAAAGCAACGCATCACGCAGACATCTGCAGTCGCTTTGCTACTTCGGCGAATTCAGGTGGCCACATGCTCTTTGCCACCTTTGAAATAAAAAATAAAAAAGAATATTGTTTCTGTTTATTATATGTTATTTACTTTTAACTGGAGGTTTCAAATATCCCGATGTCTCTCACTTCACTACCTACTGGTTTAGTCTCAAACTATCAGGTTGAAAGTCTAGGTTTAAATCTGGTAAGTAATAAATCACTCTTAGGCCTCAACTAAAGATTTTTTATGAGCGCTCTGCTAGACATTAGCAAGAAAAACTATCTTGAGAGAAAGGCTGGCGTAATATGTAGAAAAACTAACGATAGCTGTAAATCAGGATAGATAGGTAAAGCACTAAAATGGGTGAGAGTCAAAATGGCGGGTGTACCATCGCGAATTAAATTATACCACTTACTAAAAAAATGTACCTAAAATGTACTAATTAGTACCT